CTAAGTACAAAGGTCTGTTTGTCAGCATTTTATCCAGATTCTTCTATCTATAAAATGAATTCACAACCAGAGAATTCAGTTCCGTCCTCTTTAGAAGCATGCAAGTGTATCTGTGGACTCTGGATGACTAGGGATAATCAGCAGTTTACTGGAGGTTTTCCCTTGCCTCTGACCACAAGGACCATGACTCCTAAGGTGATTCTTGCTCTGCCTAGAGGTTTCTTCTGTTATTCAACCCTGACCTTCTCATTTTGACTCTGTTCTTGTTTCTGCATCTCACTGTCACACTATTTTTCAGGTGTATCTTTTCTAGATAGAAACCTTTGTGGCCAGTGGCACCTGTGCCCGAGTTTTGCTCAGGCCCACTGGGCCTATTCTGCCAACTCTGCCTGGCAGGTTGCACTCAGCTCATGCTACCAGCCCAGATCCCATGCCTGCCAAGGGTGAGCCAGGTATGGGGCAGTGAGGAGTGCATGAGCTAGTGAGTGTGGGGGTACAGCCGCTGTGCACAGCCAGGCATGCTGGCTGTGGCAAGGTGGGCAGCTCCAGGTGCTGGCTCCCTGCTGCAGCTGGACCAGGTGTACTACAAGCAGCTTCCACTGCAGGCACCAAAGAATGTGATGGTACCTAGAATCTTGGAGATTCCAGGAAGTACAGAGCCCCAAAGAGAGTGTCACAGCCCTAGCGCAGGGAGCTCCTAAATCTGGGCTCCCCAAAAGGCTGCAGCTCTTCTGTCCTTCTTTGTTCTCTTTACCTCATTGCCCACAATATGATGAGCCGGGGGCATTGATGGGGAGATCCTGGTGTCCCAGGCCTGTTTGTGTTACAGCTCTTTCAGTCCCAGCATTTGGTGGGTCCTGAGTTCTTGTCCCATGTCAAGGAAGAATGAAGTATATGGACAACTGGTGGGTGAGCAAGGCAAAGAGGTACTTTGCTGAGGGTCAAATAGCTCTCAAGAGACTCTAAGGGGGTAGCTCCTTTCGGCAGGCAGGTCATCCTGATGAGTGTACAGTTCTCAACAGAGGGGAAAACCACACTGAGTAGCTCCTCTCCACAGGCAGGTCATCCTCTCCTCTGCCCAAGTCTGGCTGATTCTGGAGTTTTTATTATGGGCTTCAGAGGGGAGAAAGTGCATGCTGACTGCACGTTCATTGTCCATGGGAGGCTGTGGGTGGGCTTAAGAAAAGCACCATAAGTTCTCACTCCAGTCTGCAGAACTGGCAGCCTGGTCCCCAGTCTTCAGGCCATCCATGGCTTGGAGGTGGGGCTTCACCAGGGACCACCCCTTCTGCCCAGAAGCCTGTCTGCCTCATGCTGCCATTTACAGCACCCAGGCTGTCCTGCCGAGGGGCAACTTCAGGCCCACTCTGAGTCACCCTCAGCCCTTCATCAACCTCCCTCCAGTGCTCATCAGCGCCCAAAGTCTGGAGGGTACCAAGACAGCAGGGGACGGGCATGTCAGCACTACCCTAAGCATGCACACCAGCTGAGTCATCACAGTGCCCGGGCTCAGCTACAACTTTGCTCCAAAAGCAGAGAAAGTGCCAAGAGCAGGGAGAGGCCAGGCAGTGGGAACGGGCACTTCCAAGCCTGTGGGGCAGGGGGGCTTCCCAGGTCCCAGAGAACAGAGGGATGCCTGGGTCGGCGGCCATGGTTGGGCAGCTGCAGCTGTGTCTGGGAGGGTGGGGGTCCTGCCCCTTTAACTCAGAAGGGGGTGTGGCTCCTGCCTGTTCCTGGCTCCTACCAGCTCTATGAAGCACACAGCCCTGGCCATTCTCCCCAACTGCAGCTAGGGTATTTGCAGAGGCTGCTTCAGACAGGCTGCTACTGCTGTCACCAACACATTTTGACAAAGATGCCAAAAGCAATCACAACAAAAGAAAAAATTGACAAATGGGGTCTAATTAAATTGAAGAGTTTCTGAACATAAAAGAAACTCCCAACAGAGTAAACAGCCAGCCTACAAAATGGGAAAACTTTTTGCTCCTCCCTCCACATTAGTCCTCCCGGCTCCACCAGTGCCCTATGCCACATGCCAGATGCCCTGATATTCCCTGAAGGCATTACCTGTCAAGCCATGGCCCCAGCTCCATTCTTTCACCCCTTCCTCAACCACATCTCATTCCCAAGGTCTCGTGAGCCAACACCCGAGGACAGGGGCTGAGTCCATCACCCGTCTAAAGTCATCACAAAGCAATGGGGATTGACACCCCGAGGCAGTGACCCCCGGCTTGCTGTGTTTGTGCACGCTTGTGCTGCGTCGCTTAGCGCATCAGGTCTGATTTAATTATCCAGTTGTCCATCTGGCCTTCTGAGAAGCTGTGAGCTAGTCAAGGGCAGAAATGTGTTCTGTTTGTCCCCATATTACCAGGGCCCACACAGGACGTACCCTGGCTTCAGAGCATGTGAACTGAATGAAGAAAAAAAAGTGGAACAGCAGCCAGAGGGGCCTGATCGGTGATCACTGGGCCGTCATCGAGATTGGCTGCTTCCCTTTTGCCATTTCGCAAAGTATGCGCCTAGGATATGCTGAAAGCCTGGTCCTCGGGAGTGTGTGGTGTTTCCCTCCCTTTGGGGAGCGAAGGAGGACACACATTTGGGCCGTACATCCCGGGAAGGTGCCCATTAACCCCACACTCTTCCTGCTGCCTCCATCCTAGACCCTCTCCTTCTTTCTCTCTTGATGGAAGCCTGGGTTTGTCTTCCCAGGTCTTCTAGCTCAGGTCCTGTCTCCAGCTAGACATCTATCTGACTTCATGGTAGCAAGAGAAAGCTGATTCACAAGAAGTCCATGGTCTGGTGAGCCCAGGACAGGAGCTCCTAGATTGTGAGGAGCAGCGTGAGTGGGTTGCTGGAGCAGGTGACAGCAATCAAACACCCCAGCCCAGGTCTCGGCTGTCACCATCTTTACAGGAACAGGATGGCATGTTTGACACAGGAAGCCCTGGTCCTCACTTGTGCACCCTCCACCCAGGCCTACATGTGTACTTAAAATACGTCATGCTCCATGCTTTGTGGTGGAAGGTGGAGTTCAATATGACTCGTCACCTGACCTCTAGAAATTAACTGTCCAACAGCACAGGCAGACAAGTAAATAGGGAGCCTCCTTCCATGAGATAAACGCAGCAGTGTAAGTGACTGCCCACAAAGTCCGTGGTTCTTTGCTTATCTACTTTTTTTCTGTCATGTTCCCTTAGGAAAATCAAGCACCAGATGTTATCAGCACTTGCCTATGGGGTGGTGACTGAGCTAAAGATGCTGGACATTCAGAATGGGTTTTGTGTAAAACAGATAGAAGCATAAAGTCAGGGGAGGTGAGAGCCCCTAAAAGAGCCCCACTGGGACCCAGGAGGCAACACAGGCTGCTGGGCAGGAGAGGAGGGGAGGCAAATGAGTACCAGATTGAGGGGCAAATATGGAGGAGGAAAGTACAACAGTTGGAGTGCCAAGAAGCACAATGAGCGCATTCCAAAAAGCATGACCTTCCACCAGAATCCAGGGAATGTGTGCTCTTTATCTGAAGACCATGAGAACACTGAGTGAGGAGTCATCCATCTGTTGGACTCAAAATGGAGTTCGGCAAACACACATGATAATGGACGGGCTTGAAAGCGATGACTTTGCTGTATGTGTTGCTGCTTATGAGGTTGATGGTAGCACTAGGTGGACCTCATATTATGCAGCTGACCTAATAGTGTCTGTATTTTGGGTACGGAGAATTGATGCAAACTAAATACTATTTTCCTTGTTAATTTCATTTGAATTTTAGATAAGTTTCTCATGCAATTAATCTTTAATATTAAAATAAATACCTTTTCTAGATATTTTTCCAAGATAAATCAGTCAGGTTCTAACCAAAGTTTATTCATATTTAAATTAAATTATAATTGTCAAAGAAGATTAAATTGAGTTCACTATCGGGTTTATAATTTTTGTCTTCTCATTCTGCCTGACAGTTCACCCTAGTGGACTGACATAGTGATATGGGAGCATCAAATAGTGATGCCCGTGGGAACATAAATGCCATAGGAAAGAGGGTGGTTCTGACTGTGGATTGGGGAGAGGGTAGGTTCAGGTGTTGATATCCTCAGCAGATTTTCCTGCCTCCAGCACATGACCCCTGTCTCTGGCTTGGAAATGATTTCAGAATCATCCCCTGAAATATTTTACTCATGATGTTAAGGGTCCCTTCAGTAGCCTATGTCCTGAAAAGAGGCATTTAAAAGAGATGGACCGAGCACTTTCTCATGGTAGCCAGACTGTGGGGCTGAACACAGCTGAGTGGCTACTTTTGCTTCTTAGGAGTAGAATCTGTAGTCACTGGGATACAACAATAGATGTGTAAGTTCTGAAGTTTCAGAATACCCCAGAACTTTAGTGGGGGCCCATCCTGTTCCTATGGAATGCAGCAGATGCCTGCACGTGGGTTTCTCCACAGCCCCACCCTGATGCCTGCCTTGGAAGGCTCCGTACTCATCCTGGTTATGGTGCCCATCAACCTTTCCTCCCCTCCGTGAGGGGCTCCCAATTCCTGGCCCCTTTGTTCTTCATCGGGGCAGAAGCTACACAGGACTGAGGCTGAGCAGGTGTCCTGTGGTGACAGAGGGTTGGCTGGGAGACCAAAGCCCAGCTGCTTTCCCAGAGCATGAGGTCAGCTCACTGGGGTCACCCCTACCAGGGGTAACGCACTTAAATCTCTGGCTAAGTTCCTGCAAGGTCAGGTGACAGGAGAGCCTGGCCTGGATGGATAAATTCTGGATAATTTCATAACAAGTGAGACACCAGTGGCAATGGGAATGAGAAGCTGTATTTTCTGGCAGGGTTAGGTACAGGAACTGCCAATCCTTGGCAGGGGCAGGGATGAAGGAACTGAAATGTCTGAAATCCCGGACATTAGAAAGGAAGCGCCTTCTGGGGACAGCTTGGATACACGACAGGAGCATCCCCAGCTCAGCTCGTGGAGGCCAGAGCAAGTTATCTGGGAAAGCACTCATCAGGATGGGGCTTTTCCTGGGCCCTTGGGATTCTTGTTTCTTCCGAAGATCACTTATCTTATCATCAGGATCCACATCAGCAGCAGCCTCCAGAGCCATGGCCACAGGAGGAGCCCCCACCTTGCTGACCACTGCCCCTGCCACAGGAGTTGGATCGCTGGCGCCGGCATCGATGGGACCTGTGGCACCTGTGGTGGCTCAGGCAGCAGCCGCCCTCAGAGCTGGGGCCACCGCAGCCCCCAGGGCTTGGAGCACAGCAGGAGGAGACTGGAGGCAGACACTGTGCTGGGCTCTTTGGGGGGCACTTGGGTGAGGGGCACTTGGGTGGGGGCTGGCTCTGCTGCTGGTTCTGCTGGCAGGACATCTTGGCAGGAATTTTACCTGGAATGAAATAATAGAAACATTTGAGCACAGAATCCTCAGACCATCTCCTTATTTTGGGGTTTGTCACACACTGACCCCCCCTTGATGAAGCCACTTTCTAAGCCAAGATCTGTGGGAGAGAAATAGGAATGTGGTAGAGGGAACCCTACACATGCATTTGGATAAAGCATCCTCAAGAATGTAAAATAGATCTATGTGCATTCCTGACAACACGTTCCAAACAAGAATACGAAGGAATCCTAAGGTCCTGTGGCTTTTGCAGCTCACAGGCCCCTGACAGATGCCTTAGAGGCTCCTTATTCACCATCACCTCCACCTCTGCTGCCCACTGTAGGCCTCTGTTTGATGGTTTCATTTGAGGTCTGGGATTGTCTTCCCCAAACACTCCCAGCTGAGGGTCTGCCCCCTGCTGGCCACTCACCAGATACGGAGGAAGTAAGAGAAAAAGGCTGCTCGCGAGGATGCTGTGGAGAAGTCCGGGGTAGGAGCCCTTTTATCCTATGTGGTGTTCATGATGAAGAACCTGAGTATGCTGCTGCTTTTGCAACCGAGGTGACAGCACCAGACACTTCCCAGTTGCTACTTCCTCAGCATGTGCCTAAAAGTGTAATAAGATGATCTTCTTTGCCTTCCTGGGCACATGCCTGAAAGTTTAATAAGATGGAACCAGGATGTCTTGGTGATGGCAGAAGTACTTCCCACTCTGGTCTACCCAGAACCTCCTGCTTGCCTCTGCTCAGCGATTCACAGGCATCTTTCGTTTTACTTCTTCCAACAGCAGTAGTATGGAGATGTATAGGGCATGTTTCTTCCACTGAGTACCTTGCAGTCTAAATGGACGGACTATCACTCAGAAAAGTAAGTACATTTGATCTGACAAAACAAGCACCATCACCGAAGTGTTTAAAAAGACTTCAAGCCTAAGACCACAGCCTTTGTAAGTCAGTCCTCCATTGCACTGATGGTCCCAAAGGGTGACGGGGTTCAGGTGTTCTCCCAGAATGACAGCTGGGCACGCTAATCATTTTTTGTAGTAAGAGCCCTCCAAGTCTACTCTTTTAGAAATGTTCAAGGATGCCATACGTTGTTATAGTCATCATGCTGCACAGTAGATCTCCTGAACTTATTACTCCTGTCTCATTACAATTTTGTATCCTTTGTCCAGCATATCCCTGGTTCTTCCCCATTCCCCAACCCAATCCCTGATAATGATCATTTCTACTTCTATGCACTTGACTTTTTAAGATTCCACATGTAAGTGAAATCATGGAACATTTGTCTTTATATATCGGGCCTATTTTACTTAGCATTATGTCTTTCAGGTTTATCCATGTTGTCACAAATCAGAAACTTCCCTTTTTATATAAGACTGAATTATCGTAAGGGGTCTTGACAGTTGCTCTACATTCTGGCCAGCAGAGGCACACTACCAGAGAGGCTTGCAATGCTCAGCCAGAAGCACAGTTGTTGAGTCTCCCAGGCTTGAATCTCTGGTCAGCTTCCACACTCAGCCCCAGTGCTCTCCTTGAAACTTCTCCAGGCCAGGAGATCTGGGTAGAATGGGAATTACCTGCAAAGAGAACATCTAGCCCCACTCATTCCCAGCTGCCAACCTTTCACCCAGTCAAGCCCTACCCATTGGGCTTCTCTACCCTTCCCAAGGCCAGAAAACAGTGGCATGGTGGCAATTAACTGCAGAAGGAGCATCTGTTCCACCCAGGCCCAGCATCCAAGTGGCTAATATATCAAGCCATGGTGCTCTGCTTTAGGTCATCCTAAGACTAGAGGCAAACCCATGCCCAGGAGTATCTATGGAGCATAGACTCTGGTTCTGTCACCCTGCATGGTTATGTAGCAATCTCAGACACCTTGGTCCACCTTGACACCCAGAACATGGCCTCACCCAGCTACAGATTCAAAACTGTAGTCCTGGCCAGCCACGGAAGATAAGCAACAATACTGCTCAATCAAAGGCAAGTTCAGCCAGCAGCTCTTACTATAGAGTCCAGCCAATGCTCTCACATGCTGGAATTGACTCTCACCATCCTTTATTTGAGAAACACAAGCCGAATATCCGCTAGGGCCAGTGAGTGGCTTGCTCAGTTTGGGTTTCAGCAGTCAATAAGGGACACATTCAGTTTCTTCAGGGGTCTTACAATCCAGCAGAGAAGGTAGACAGTATACAAATATGGTATTTATATGTGTGATCACTGGGCCCAAAGGCAAAATGCAGGCATTGTAGTGTGGGTGAGAGAAGCTGTCTTAGCCTTGGAGTTCAAACCTAGCTGCAGAAGTGAATAACTACTTTTCCATGTACAGCCATTGTCCAGAAGTAAGTATAGAGTCCATATTTAATTCCAAAGATGTACAACTCTGAATTGCTGAAAGACTTTGAGTATAACACATGCTCCCCTGTCAGTGTGACTCAAACATTTCAGAACTTGTCTGCAGGAGGGTCACCCTTTTCTCATGAATTGAAAGCTGACTTGTATCTGGCTTTTTCCTAGCCCCAACACTGAGTCCCCGTCTGAGTTCCTGTCTCCATACCCTGATTTGGAGACATGCTCTTTCTCCTTGGGATAGAACTCCTTAATCTCACACCTCCCTTATGAAATCTCCACCCACTTGTTCTTCTCAGAAACAGTCCACAGCCCAGTTACTTCTCTCAGAGCATGGAGCAGCTCCAGATGTTCTTTCTGCACTGTGAGAATTTCTTAGTATCCCTGACATCCTGAGGACCTGGGATAATAAAGAAGAATTTTACGTGACTGGCTCGAGAGAAGGATGTTATAACAGGTATGTTAACTCTGGGCCAGGAAGTGCTTTATCTGAGGTCTAGTTCCAAGGTGAATCTTCTGAGGAGGCGTACTAGTAGTAAATGAGTAAACAAACAACAGACCAAGGAGCAACCCTTCTCCTCTGCAATATATGACTGATGCTGTGAAAAGCAACTGAGTCATTCTTGGGGAGGATGAGATGAGCAAGCCAAAAATGGCAACTTGGGAAGATGTCCAAGTTGTCGTGACGTTTATGTCATTTAATTTTCTTACTATGGGATTTCAGAAGCACAAAATTGGATTAACAAATATCCTCTGTTCATATTATATGCTTATAATTCATCCATGCTTGGCCTTCTTAATTAATTTATCTATCTGCTAGTCTATCTATTATTTAAATAATAAACACAGAAAAAATTCATCATCCAAGAGAAAATGGTAACTTTCGTTGTAAGTTACATGCATCTGTGTAATTCACCCTTCACCCATGTCCCCGCCTGTCTCATCTAATATAACCATGATACTAAATCTTGTATTCATCATTCTTTGCTTCTCTTTTTGTGTATTTCATTACTTTTTATTTCTAAAAAGTGTTATTTTAATTTTTTTTCTATTTTAAGTTTCATTTCTTGAGGTATTATATAACAAAAAATCATCCATTTAATTATCCAATTCTATGAGCTTTGACTAACATATATGGTCCTGTAAACCCCACTACAACTAAGATATACAACAGTTCTATCACCCCAAAATATTCCCTCATGTGCTTATTAAATCAACCCCTTTCCCATACCAACCCTTGGCAACCACTGACCTATATTCAGTTCTGATAATTTTGCCAATTCCAGAATGTCATATAATTTCAATCATATAATATGTAGTATGTAAAGTCTGACTTCTTTTGCACAGAATAATGCATTTGAGATTCATTCCTGTTGTTTTATGAATCAGTAGTTAATTCCTTTTTTATTGCTAAGTAGCCTTCCATTGCATAGATATACCATTTTTAAAACTCTATTCATCAGTTGAAGAGCATTTGGGGTTCTTCAATTTCAGGCCAGTTATGAATAAAGCTATAAATATTCCTATAGGTTTTTCTGTGAACATACAACTTTATTTCTCTTGACTACATATCTAAAGATAGGATTTCTGGGGCAAATAGTAAGTTGTACGTTTAGTTTTGGGGGGAGACTGCCAACCCATGTAATTCTGCATTTCTCTCCGCAATGACTTGCACTTCTCATTGTTCTATATCCCCCCTATTAATTGATATTGTCATTTATTTTTCATTTGAGCTATTCCGATGTATATACAGTGGTATCTCCCTTCGCTTTTACACTGCATTTCTCTAATGACTGATTATGTTGAGTATCTTTTCATGTGCTTACCTGCCACTCATGTATCTTCTTTGTTGAAATGTCTTTTCAAGTATTTCGGCCATATTGTCCATTTTATTACTTATTTTAGAGAATTTAAAAAATATTCTTGACACAAGTCTTAGTCAGATATGTGTTTTACAATATTGTCTCCAAGTGAGTGAATTTTCTTTGCATTTTCTTAGCAGTGCCTTTTGAAAAGCAGAAGCTTCTAATTTTGATGAAGTCCAATATTTATTTTGAATTGTAAATTTAAAATAAAAAGATATGCCTTTTTGGCATATCTGAAAAATTTTGTATAACTCAAAGTCACAGAGTTTTTTTTAATGTTTTATTGTAGACATTTTATACTTTAATTTTTTAAATCACCATCTATTAATTTTTATATCTAGTATTAGGTATGATTTATTTTACATATGAACGTCCAATTGTTTCAGCATCATTTGTTGAAATGACTATTACTTACCCATTCATGACTCAAGAAAGGAATATGTCATACTCATTCCCAGGAAATTGTAAGGGACAGACTGTGCTCCACAGCATGTGAGTTGAAAGGAAGAAGAAGGGAGGAGGAAGGAAGCAGTGGCAGGCTCCCAGCTGAGAGGTATGTGGACACCAATCCTGCTTCCAGGTTCAATGGCATTGGTTGAATGTTATGGAAGAACCCAAGCTAGAAACCTAGTCTTGGGCGTGTGCCTAACTGTCACCTCCCCTAGTTGTGAAAGCCGCAGCACGCCCAGGCTGTGCATCACACACCCTGCACAGGATAAAAGCACTCCTGCCCTGGGTTCCACATCTGCAGTCTCCTCGGGAACAGCCTTCTCCTGCCTTCTCTGCACCCGGTAAGTGTCCAGCAGGGGACAGGGCTGGATCTGGGATGTTAGAACAGAAAGCTAAGGCCATAGCAGAAGAGATGGAAACAGAGAGGTTTGAAACAAAGACCCAGAGACAGGGCTGGGAGAGGGCAGCTCGGGGGGACAGGGGCCAGGAGGAAGACTCTGTAGGACCTGACAGCAATTCCATGACTTGCAAAGGCCATAGAGCTCACGATTCCCTCCCATCCTCTTTCTACTCAGACTGGCACATTTCTTGTAACATCCATTCTCCAGAAGTCTTCTTCCCAAAAGGGTGCATCTCCTAGGGGTTCTTTGGAGAAACAGAAACATGGATGCCCACTTAGACTGACAGCAATCTGTCCCACGTGGAGAGCAGAGTGAGAGGCATCTGGCCTGTCCTGGGAACCCACATCAGCCTCCCTCACACGCCTGCAGCTCTGGCCTCAGCGGGAGCTGATCTTAGAGACCTTGGTTGGTAGATTCTGAACTAACACGTGGCTTTGTTTTGTCCAGGAAGACTCAACTCTTGCCAAGATGTCCTGCCAGCAGAACCAGCAGCAGTGCCAGCCCCCACCCAAGTGCCCCTCACCCAAGTGTCCCCCAAAGAGCCCAGCACAGTGTCTGCCTCCAGCTTCCTCTGGCTGTGCCCCAATCTCCGGGGGCTGTGGCTCCAGCTCCGAGGGCGGCTGCTGCTTGAGCCACCACAGGCGCCACCACCGATGCCGGCGCCAGCGCTCCAACTCCTGTGACAGGGGCAGTGGTCAGCAAGGCGGGGGCTCCGGCTGTGGCCACAGTTCTGGGGGCTGCTGCTGATCCAGATCCTGAGGCCGAGACAAGCAATTTTGGAGGAAACAAGAATCCCAGGGGACGAGGAACAGCCCCATGCTGATGCACGCTTTCCGGGCTGAGCTGGGGGTTTCCTGTGGAGGATCCGAGCTCTCCCCAGAAAGCACTTCCTGTTTTATGTCCAAAATGTCACCTTTTCCCTTACTGCTGTACCTGTGGAGGACCGGCAGTGCTTGTGCCTGACATTGTCAAAAAATAAAGCTTTTTGTCCTCATTACCACCAGCGTCTCCCTTGGCATTTCACCCTGCCTCTCCGTAGGTGGGTCTGAAAGTGTGCCCTCCCACCTGCCCCTGAGATCCCACAGCTCCACAGAGAAGGGGCAGAATTCTAGCTCTAGGCCTGGAAAATTCAGGAGTCTGTCGAGTCTTTTTATGCTGGAATTCTGAAGCAGTTGAGGAGGCGGGATGGGATGAGGGGATTGTACTGAGGCCTCTAAATCTCAGAAAAGAATGTGCCTCTCACAGTGGACTCCCCAGGCTCCTCGGAGGAGCTACTAGCTGTTTCTGACAGCCCAATTACAAAGCAGTGAATAAGTAGCAGGCAATTGTCAAAAAAAAAAAAAAAAAAATAGGCAGAATTAGTATTTCTTCTGAAGGGGTAAATTTGACTCTTTAATGGACATTTTTGGTTGCCAAAACAGAGGTAAGAAGAGAATTTCTGGCATCTAGCAGGTAAAGGCCAGGGGTGCAGCTGAGCCTCCTACCAAGCATAGGACAGCCCCACAATGGAGAATTATCTGGCCCCAAAAGCCAATAATGCCAAGGGTGAAAAGCTTTGGACTAAAATTAAAAGATGGTTAAAGAAGCCAGGTGCAGTGGCTCACACCTATAATCCCAGCACTTTAGGAGGCCAATGCGGGTGGATCATGAGGTCAGGAGTTCAAGACCAGCCTGACCAACATGGTGAAACCCCGTCTCTACCAAAAATACAAAAATTAGCTGGGTGTGGTGGCAGGTGCCTTTAATCCTAGCTACTTGGGAGGCTGAGGCAGAGAACTGTTTGAATCACGGAGGCAGAGGTTGCAGTGAGCTGAGATTGAAACACTGCACTCCAGCCTGGGTGACAGAGCAAAACTCCATCTCCAAAAAAAAAAAGAGTAAAGAAAAAGATGGCCTTGGCCGAACATGGTGGCTCACACCTGTAATCCCAGTACTTCGGGAGCCCAAGGCTGCTGGATTACCTGAGGTCATGGTGAAACCCCATCTCTCCTACAAATACAAAAAAAATAGCTGGGTGTAGGGGTGGATACCTGTAATCCCAGCTACTCGGGAGGCTAAGGCAGAAGAATCTCTTGAATCTGGAAGGTGAAGTTTGCAGGAAGCCATGGTTGTGCCACTGAACTCCAGCCTGGGCAACAAGAATAAAACCCTGTCTCAAAAAAAAAACTCCATCTCAAAAGAGGAAGAAGAAAAAGGAGGAGGAGGAAGAAGAAAAGGAGAAGGAGGGGGGAGGAGGAAGGGGAGGAGGCTGAGGAGGAGGAGGAAAAAGATGGCCTCAGGAAGAACAGATAACTTCACATACACAAGTAAATTCCCAGACAGAGAAGGTAGAGTGGGTAGAATTAAGTAAAGCTAAAGAAGTTCTGGGTCAGGGGAGAAATGGAGCTGAGAGCTTAGGGAAAGCAGTAACGTGGAGGATGTGGATTGACACCATTAAGAAAAAGAAAGAGAGAAAATGAGAAGTATTGCTAGGCTTATAAATTAGTATAATTGTAAGATCAAAAACGTATTTGCTTATTAGGTGTTAGAAAACCCTTAAGTGACTACTATGAACTCATTTAATTTTCTAACTCCATAAACCAGTGCTCTTAATAACCATATTTTGCAAACAGGAAAATTGTTAGTCCAACAGTTCTGCACAAGACCCAGGTCACACAGCCAGTAAGTCCATGATCCTGGCTGATGCCACTTGTCCCTTCCTGGAGACTTCTCAAGAGATCTTTAGAAGCAATTAGTCTTTTTCTACTTTACTTTTTTTTTTGCCTGTTTAACTTCATTTTTTTGTTTTGATATTTTAAAATCTGCAGAGCTAAGAGCCCAACTATGTGAATCATAACTTTAATAAAACTTTTGTAAAAATTTTTCTCTGTCAGGTTTTGGATGTGTGATACTTGACTACCCTCTAGGTTGAATTAGCTCTTTAGAGATAAAGCTCACTCTGTCTGCCAGATTGTTGAAATATTAATGTAGAGAAAAAGTTCATTAAAGCCATTCAGGTGGTTCTTAGAATAAGCCAAAGGAACATCGTAGGACATGAATTAAATGACAAATTGAAAATGTGGGAGAAATTAGTGTGGAGCTGGGCACAACCAACCAAAAACAAATAATATACAGAGTACATTCGGAGTCTATTGAATCAAAAATATTCTTTTGAAAATATTCTTTGAAAATTACTTTGAAAATATCAATCTGGCTATTTATTTTACTCTAAAATCTAAGAACTCAGGATTTCTAAAATCTCTGGAATTTAAAAAAGAAAAGGGCTCTTAAAGGGGTTTGATGTAAGAAATTCTCTAACCAGTTCTGATCCCTCTCCAGCTCATCAGAGTTGCTGAAGGTAGGAACCACAGCTCTCCTGTTTGACTTATCACCACGAGCTGCTTGTTACTCAAAACTGGAGACAGTCTTGGGTAGTGTTCCACCATGGGACAGAAACAGTGTCAAGTCATGATTCAAATATGTCTCAAAAACTATTGAGAATGCATAAGGTCAGCTGGGAGGTTGGAGTTGCTACCGTGTTTGTGAGGCCTTGCCCAATGGACCCCACAACAAGGAACCCACAAATCCAGCCAGAATCACTCTACTAGTCCAGACACTGAGGACCACTGTTTGGAATGGGGCTAGAATTCATGAGACGCATTCCTAACTGCATATCAGCTGCAAGAGAAAGGACTCAACCCAGACTTTGAAGAAATAAAGTATATCACCTGTCGAAGTCTATGGAAAGAGGATTGGAAGCTCAAAGCACCTATCAAGGTCAAGCTCCTGATGTCAAACTGTCTGCCAATCCTTACACACACTGTGAGTCCACTCAAGGAGGGAGAAGAAAGAGGAGCTGGACCAACTTACGAAGTCTGAACCTGCAATACCAGGACAAGGACAGATGTTATGCAGTTTGTGATGTTTCCCCTAAAAGTGGATCCCAACAGGTCAACTTATAAAGACCACCTTGGCCAAGTCTAGGATTCAAAATTAATAATTAATAATTCGTTATTTAAAAAGTGTTTGTTCAACATCTACTGTATGCAGACACCACTATAGGTACTGGAGATACATTAGAGAAAATGAAAGAATAAGATGTTTTCAGGGAATTTCCATTCTGGTGGGTCCATTCAAGGCAGTCCTCTAATTTTCTTGTAAAACAGCAAAGTAAGGTATCAACATCCCTCTATCCGGCTGGTTTCCCATATTCTTGGATTGAAGGGGCAGCAGCGTAGCTTTTTTTTTTTTTTTTTTTTTTTTTTGAGACGGAGTTTCGCTCTCGTTACCCAGGCTGGAGTGCAATGGCGCGATCTCGGCTCACCGCAACCTCCGCCTCCTGGGTTCAGGCAATTCTCCTGCCTCAGCCTCCTGAGTAGTTGGGATTACAGGCACGTGCCACCATGCCCAGCCAATTTTTTGTATTTTTAGTAGAGATGGGGTTTCACCATGTTGAGCAGGATGGTCTCGATCTCTTGACCGTGGGATCCACCCGCCTCGGCCTCCCAAAGTGCTGGGATTACAGGCCACTGCGCCCGGCCCGCTTTTTTTTTTTTAAGACAGAGTTTCGCTTTTGTTACCCAGGCTGGAGTGCAATCTTGGCTCACCACAACCTCCGCCTCCCAGGTTCAAGCAATTCCCCTGCCTCAGCCTCCCGAGTAGCTGGGACTATAGGCACATGCCACCATGTCCAGTTAATTTTTGCATTTTTAGTAGAGACAGGGTTTCACCATGTTGACCAAGATGGTCTCGATCTCTTGACCTCGTGATCCACCCGCCTCAGCCTCCCGCAGTGCTGGGATTATAGGCATGAGCCACCGCGCCCGGCCAGCAGTGTAGCTGTAATACACACAATTGAAGACACTAGCCTGAGAAGAACATTGATGATTAAATATACTGGCTTTGCTGCTACAAAAAGCTCATGTAGTAACATCTTCTTACTTTTATACTACAGGCAGCAATCAAGTAACAATAAAGGATGAGTTGCTAGTGGTGATGGAAAAAATGTTAGTGCACAAGGAGGCCTGTGTTCTCAGACCCTTGCCAGTGGAAAAAATAATGTTTGCACCAGAGGTATGAAGGTACTCTCATTTTCTTCCTATTAGACCTTATCTCAAAGTTGGCAGCCACAACTATAGGCTTTTCTGTAGCAGGATAAACAGCCACATTTATAATAATAATAATGTTTCTCAAAAGCCATGTTTTTTTTTTTAACTTTCATTTGAAGTTCAGGGGTACATATGCAGTTTTGTTATACAGGTAAACGTGTGTCACGAGGATTTGTTGTACATATTAGTTTGTCACCCAGGTATTAAGCCTAGTACCCATTAGTCATTTTCCCTGTAAACCCAGCACTTTGGGAGGACGAGGCGGGCAGATCACGAGTTCAAGAGATCGAAACCATGTTGAAACCCGTCTCTACTAAAAAATACAAAAATTAGCTGGGTGTGGTGGCGCACGCCTGTAATCCCAGCTACTCAGGAGGCTGAGGCAGGAGAATCACTTGAACCCAGGAGGAGGAGGTTGCAGTGAGCCAAGATTGCGCCAGTGCACTCCAGCCTGGTGCCTGGCGACACAGTGAGACTCTATCTCCAAAAAAAAAAAAAAAAAAATTGTCTTATTCTTAATTGTGCTTATATTTCATAATAAAATGAATCTTTGGTGTTATAATAAGATGCAATAGATTCTACAAGGCTGATTCAAATGTGGTTTTTACAGGCGTTAGTCACACATCAATTGCATTATGTCAGGTATACGTAATAACACTACCATATGTATCTGTAATTATTCACCTTCAATTAATTATAATTTACCTCTCAGCTAAATTCTCCTTGGCTATCCCAGCCTGGATGAATCACCTTCTTCTCTGACCCATGCCTGCAACTCAGAAACTTACAAAGTGAGTGGCTTACTGACACATTGTGTGTCAGATGTAGGTTAGTTTCTTATCTCCATCTCTGGTTGCAGCTCTAATATCCGTGGTCCACTGTGCTTTCATTCCGTTGTAGCTTCTTCTCTCTTCAAACACCTTTACCTTATGACAACTATCACCTGAAGAAATAAGAAAACAAAGCCAGAAATATCTAACTCCCCAACCTGTGTTCTTAAGGAACATATATTCTGGCTGCTTCTATCTACCACATTCTATCCTCAGACAGGAATTTTGTCCCTCACTCTTTCCTCTGCAGGGACACCTAGATAGTATTTCAAATTTTTATGAAGAAATCGAGTATTGGTAAAGTTAATTACATGGATAAATATAAAAGATGGTATAAATGTATTTTCTGCTTTTAAGTCTCTTTTTCTCCAATCTGATTTGAAAGACAACTGCATAAAAATACTTACAGAGCTGCACTGATGGCTTTCTAATGTAAAGATATGATTTATATGACAATAACAGCATACAGAAGGGGGGAGGGAACAAACCAACATAGGAGCAAAGTCTTGCATACTATTGAAATTAAGTTGGTTTTGAACTGTGTTATATCACTATAAGTTAAGATGTTCATAACAACTCCCAAGGAAACTGCTAAGAAAATAACTAAAAAAGTATAGCAAAATATACAACATGAAAATTAAAAGTGTACACTAGAAAATGCCTGTTCAACAAATAAAGCCATAGTGAAGAAAAAGAGGAACAAAGAAAGATATAAAATATATAGAAAATAAATAGCAAATGGTAGATACAATTTCTACCTTAGTAGTAATTATATTAATTGTAAATAGATTAAATACTCCAATCAAAATGTGAAGACTGACAAAATGGATAAAATAGTATGAACTAACTGTATGCTGTCTATAAGACACCCACTTTAGGCTCAAAAACAAGATAGATCCAAAGTAAAAAGGTAGAAAAACATATACCATGCAATGGTAATCAAGAGGTCTGGAGTGGCTATACTAATATTGAATAAAAGACTTTAAAATGAAATTAGTAGTAGAGACAAAGTGGACATTTTATAATGATAGAAGGATCCATCCATTAAAGAAATAATTATTATACATACATATAAACCTAACAGTGGAGTCCCAAATTACATGTAGCAAGGACTAACAAAACTGAAGGTAGAAATAGTCAACTCATAAACAATTTAACAATAATAGTTGAAGTTTTCATACTCCACTTTTATTAATGGAAGAACAACTAGGAAGAGAATCAACAAAAAACCTGAAGACTTTGACAATGCTATAAACCAATTAGATCTAACAGACATCTTGATGAGCATTCCAACCACAATAGCAGAATACACATTTTTCTCAATTGCACATGGAACATTCTGCAGAGTAGACCACGTCGTAAAAGTAGTGTCATTAAATTTTAAAACACTGAAATCATACACAGTATCATTCGTAACCACAGTAGAATGAAACCAGCAAAGAGTGACAGAAAGAAAATAGAAAATGTAGGAATGTCTTAATCAACCAATGAGTCCAGGAAGAAACCACAAAGGAAATTAGAAAATATTTTGAGATGACTGAATATAAAAATAAAACATACCAGAAATTATGGGATACAGCAAACAAAATGCTCAGAGGGAAATATATGGCTGCAAACGCCTACATTAAGGAAGAAAAAAAAAATCTCAAATCAATAACCTAACTTTCTGCCTTAAAACACTGAACAAAAGAGGAAACTAAACAAAGTAGGAGGAAGGAAAGAATGAAGATTAAGTTCGTAGCTGCATTATTCACAATAACCAAAAACTGGAGATAACTCAAATGTCCATCACTTGATGAATGAATAAATAAAATGTGATATATTCATGAAGTGAAATATTACTCAACCGTAAAGAGGAATGGAGTTCTGATACATACTACAACATGGATAAATCTTAAACAATAGATTATGTGAAAGAACTAATGCAAAAGGTCATGTATTAAATGATTTTATTTATATGAAGTGGGCAGAGTAGGCAAGTCTATACAGGCAAAAAATCGATTAGTGGTTGCCAGAGGGGCAATGTGGAATGAGGAGTGACTACTAATGGGTGGTGATACAAAATAATTGCTATATGAAAGGTAGGATTGCAACCCCCAGTGGACCTGAATGAGATGAAGGTAATCAGGCCTCAGACCTTCCTGGTTCCCTCTTGTCAGGCATCTTTGTGAGCACACAGGAAGGTGATGAATGGATAGTCCCAAGGGTGTGCCTGGCTGTCACCTCCCCTAGTTGTGAAAGTCGCAGCATGCCCAGGCTGTGCATCACACACCCTGCACAGGATAAAAACACTCCTGCCCTGGGTTCCACATCTGCAGTCTCCTCGGGAACAGCCTTCTCTGGCCTCCTCTGCACCCGGTAAGTGTCCAGCAGGGGACAGGGCTGGATCTGGGATGTTAGAACAGAAACCTAAGGCCATAGCAGAAGAGATGGAAACAGAGGTTTGAAACAAAGACCCAGAGACAAGGCTGGGAGAGGGCAGCTCGGGGGGACAGGGGCCAGGAGGAAGACTCTGCAGGACCTGACAGCAATTCCATGAATTGCAAAGGCCACAGAGCTCACGATTCCCTCCCATCCTCTTTCTACTCAGACTGGCACATTTCTTGTAATATCCATTCTCCAGAAGTCTTCTTCCGAAAAGGGTGCATCTCCTAGGGGTTCTTTGGAGAAACAGAAACATGGATGCCCACTTAGACTGACAGCAATCTGTCCCACGTGGAGAGCAGAGTGAGAGGCATCTGGCCTGTCCCGGGAACCCACATCAGCCTCCCTCACACGCCTGCAGCTCTGGCCTCAGCGGGAGCTGATCTTAGAGACCTTGGTTGGTAGATTCTGAACTAACACGTGGCTTTGTTTTGTCCAGGAAGACTCAACTCTTGCCAAGATGTCCTGCCAGCAGAACCAGCAGCAGTGCCAGCCCCCACCCAAGTGCCCCTCACCCAAGTGTCCCCCAAAGAGCCCAGCACAGTGTCTGCCTCCAGCTTCCTCTGGCTGTGCCCCAATCTCCGGGGGCTGTGGCTCCAGCTCCGAGGGCGGCTGCTGCTTGAGCCACCACAGGCGCCACCACCGATGCCGGCGCCAGCGCTCCAACTCCTGTGACAGGGGCAGTGGTCAGCAAGGCGGGGGCTCCGGCTGTGGCCACAGTTCTGGGGGCTGCTGCTGATCCAGATCCTGAGGCCGAGATAAGCGATTTTGGAGGAAACAGGAATCCCAGGGGACGAGGAGCTGCCCCATGCTGATGCACGCTTTCCCAGATACCGTCTTCTGACTTTCAAGGCTGAGCTAAGGGTTTTCCTGTGGAGGACCTGAGCTCTCCCCTGACGGCACTTCCTATTTTATGTCTAGAATGTCACATGTTTCCCTATCCCTGTACCTGCCAATGATTGACAGTGCTTGTGTCTGACTTCATCAAAAAATAAAGCTTCTTGTCTTCTTTACCACTGGCATCTCACTGGGCATTACATTGTCTCTCTCCTCAGCTCCTTGGTCAGTACAACCCAGCTGAGGAGCCAATCCTTAGCTCTGCACCAGGAAAACGTAGTGGATCTGACCCCGCTGCACTAATGGAAGGAAAGGGGAGAGTTTTATGTTGTAGTGAGAGGGAGAGAACGATACAGGTTGTGTTGGTTTGAGGCCCTGAAATTCAACCTCGAGCTCAAAGAGGGCATCAGTGCTAAATGGACTTTTGCTGTGAAATCCAAGAGGACATTAATATTACTGGGGAATTTCCAGTGTATGAAAGAAGACCACTAGTTTGTTCTGCTGGACTGTTTCTGGGGTGCTAACTAAGAAATAAGAAATCAAAAGGCAGAGACACAGAAACTAGGCAGAGGAGAAGCAGAATGAAAAGATGGAGGAAGGAGCTGGAGGCCTGGGAAGAAGTATAACTCAGTGACCGAAAATCCAGAGAGAGAGACAGAAGCTGAAGGTGTTGCTTAAATAGATGAGGTGATGGAACAGAGATGTGGCTGGGAATTTAGTCGACGAGATGATTGGAATGTGCAAAATGAGAATTTTAGGAAAAAGAAAAAGGCGGATAATGAGTAGTATTGCTGGAATTATTAATAGATACACCCAAAGAAGTAAGTATGTGTTAATTTTGTAACTATATGACCTTGACATCAGCACATAGAAGTTACGACCTCAATGGGGTCACATGTCTTGGCCTAAATTGTGAGACTGAGATGCTCCTGGGGTTGAAGGATTTTTTTTTTTATGTGAACCAAGAGTAGCATCTCATTTTGACTTCCAGAAAGCCAGAGAAGTGTCACATTAAGCTAAAGTCAAATTGCAAATATTAAGAGAAGTCGACATGAGGGCTAAGTAGAGCAGGTGGGGGGTGCATTAAAAATAAAGGTGGAAAATCTTATAAGTTCATTGAACTAAAAAAAGATTTTGGCAAATCCTGTAAATTAATTCTTTTTTTTTTTTTTTTTTTTTTTTTTTTTTTTTTGAGATGGAGTTTCGCTCTTGTTACCCAGGCTGGAGTGCAATGGCACGATCTCGGCTCACCGCAACCTCCGCCTCCTGGGTTCAGGCAATTCTCCTACCTCAGCCTCCTGAGTAGCTGGGATTACAGGCACGCTCCACCATGCCCAGCTAATTTTTTGTATTTTGAGTAGAGACGGGGTTTCACCATGTTGACCAGGATGGTCTCAATCTCTTGACCTTGGGATCCACCCGCCTCGGCCTCCCAAAGTGCTAGGATTACAGGCGTGAGCCACCGCACCAGGCCCGGAGAGAAGTTTAATATCACATATTCAGAAATACATCAAAGGGTATTAACAAAAAAAACAAAAACCAAAAACCTTTGTTGAAATTGAAATTGAAATTGAAACAGGAGGCACAGATTTGGGTCATTGGTTTAAGTTCGGTTTGAAATCACTGGAGAGCTCTCAGCCAGGAACAGTGAAAGGGGTGAAAGGCCCGGACCCCAGGGAAGAGTGTGCCGTGCCTGATGTTGCCTACAAAGCTCCACACCGGGAATGTGAGCAATACTCACATGCAGACCCAGCATCTCTGTGCAGACCTGGAAGCAGCATGCCACAGGCTGGACATAACTGGAGAATCAGAGCCTGCCACCTGACAGGGGCTGCAGAACAAGCTTGCTGGCCCAGAGCACCTCATTCCACTACACTAAAGAGTGAGGGGTTCTGGCTATGGCTGAATCTAATCTGAGTGGGGAGAAAACAGAGCAGAGCCAACAAATAAAACAACTTGCTGGCCAACCAGTGAGATCCTGGGAATCTAGAAGTATAAAACGATCTCTCAGAAATGGAGCCCAGTAAGGGAGTTTCCAGCAGTGGAGAAAAACAGATGCCCCAAACCTCATCTGGGCAATACCAAGTCCTGAGCCCTGGACCCATTTATTCACTTGACACATTTTAATTGAGCACTGATTATGTGCTTAACTGTAGGCACTAGGGACACAACAGGGAATCAGAGAGACAAAGTTCCTTCTCTTGGGAATTCACATTCAAAACTGGTCCAAAGGAGACAGTTCCCAATTTTGCATGCATCACAGAGTGAAACACAGTGGTCCTCTCCTCAGTTGGCCTCTCAGCCTCTAGAGGTGAGTGGACACTGGTGTTTATTTAATAAACACAGAGAAGACACTCAGCCTAGGCAAAATATTGAGGCACAGAGATAGGGACTTTGGTGGTGACAAAAAGAAAGGACATTAAATATTTGCCAGTTTCCACATCAAAAGACAACAGCTGGAAAGAAGAGGGGACAAATCGTGAATACCAAGGGGACAAAGTCATTGCACAAGCAGGCCTCTCTCCTCATGCCCTTGCCCGTTTCCCTCCCTCTCTCCACAGCCCCGTGAATAAACCTCTTCTCACAGGTGCTCTTTTCATCCCGTGAATACTACCTATTTCATCCTCTAACGGAGATTTCATCACTTATAAGCCTCCCTGTAACAGGATAATCAGACACAAAATTTTCATCAGTGTTTATAAAAGACAATAGCACTTTGTGATCATTTTAATTAGTATTTTTGATTTAAAAGATTTGTCCCATTTTTAAATGTGGTGTTTCAGAAGCAATGCATCTCTAACGTGATCATCAAATGCAATGTAAAAATACTACATAGTTTATGTAATTGCAGTTTGCAAAATCCTGTTCAGTCACTGTCCATTCAGTGTTCACAAGCTTCCCCATTGCTGGCCTCATCATCCCCACTCCATGAAGTATTATTCACAGCTAGGCTAACTTCCCTTTTCCAGCCCAGCTAAGGTGGATCCCTCCCTCCCTGAAACTACTCTGGAGCTCTTAGATACCACAGTCACTAAGATACTGATGCAATGGCCCTCAGATGCACTTTAATTTGTAAACTATGTCCTCACAGCCTCTATAGACTTCCTGTCTCTTTCTCTGATTTGGCCCCTCACGTCTTTGGTCCATTGGGCCTCTATCACTTTATAGCTCCCTACCACCATACCAGTTGCTATCTGGGGAAGCGGGATTCAAACTCAGGAATGTCTGAGGCCAAAATGAATGTTCTGAACAAGCCAATTGACCTACACTCCACTTTGCCTTAGATCCCCCAGGGTGCCCCTCATCTCCAGCATTGTCTCTTCCTCCTGGTGAGGACACATGGGTTCTATTGGCCCCTGTCAGTATCACCATCTAGGCTGGCTGCCCACAGACAGATCAAGTATTTATACCTCTGCTTCCGCTACTTGTACAAATGATATTGTCAAAGGCCAGTGATCTCATCTCACCTCTCATCCCCAAATGACAGCATGTGGCAACATCTGTCATTTTCTCCATCAGAGTCACTCCAAGGAAAAGGGGTTTGACACCCAAAGGATCTGACCTTGAGCCCAAGGACATTCCACACCCCTGTATTCCTGTATACTTGCCACATGGGATCATTCTTATTTTCTTATTTGTCTGTGCCACACTGCACTGTGAGCTACTCAAGAACAGAGAACAAACCTTATTCATTTCTAACTCTCCCATGTATAGCAAAATGCCTGGTGTGCCGTATCAGTGCAACACATCTCATTTGAATAGTTGAATAAATGGATAAATGAATGAATGAATGAATGAGTGAATGAATGAAAAATCAAAACGACAGGCTTGTAGGAAGGTTGAGTCACAGAACTTTCAAGAGTCCAGTGACTTCCCTCACAAGAAAACTCTTAGCATCTGCCCTAGAAGATAAAGAGGGCCAAGTAATAGAGATCACAGCTGTTTAGCTCAACGTATTCCAAAGAAAGAAAGAAGGAATGACAGGATGGGGGAGAAGACAGGGAAAGGGGAAGGGAAGGGGAAGGAATAAAGAGGGAGGGGGCAGGGAGGGAAGGAGAAAGGCAGGAAGGAAGAAGGGAAGGAATGAGCGAAGGAAGGACAAAAAGGCCGACAGAAAACTTAGAGGACAGGTATCTGGACAGCTTGGGGCGTCCTAGATCCTCTCCATCCGTAAGCCTCTCTTCCCATTCCCCTTTTACTCCCAACCACCACAACACCGAGGGCTTCACATCTCCCTGTGGTACCTGTGTCTCTACCGAAGATACTGTTGAGAACCCAGATTGTCTCGGCTGCTGGCCATGGTCATGCTAATGGTTTGGGGATGGGAAGATGCTAAACTGAAAAGAAGCTGTCTTCTGCAGGGAGTGAAGATCTTTTTGTTATTTTGATTGTCATTTACATGTCTTTTATACAGGCTGATTAAAATGCACCTCAAAGAGCCAAACCTGAGCCACCGTACTGCCTGTTCCCATCATTCCCATGGACATTACTGAGTCATGAAATTATACAGATTTATCCAGCCAGGCCCAGTTCTCCTGTCACCAGACCTCACAGGACCTTAGAAAGCTGGAGATCTAGGGGTGGCACTCCTGATTGAGATGATCCTCAGAGAGCTGACCTCTGCTCTGGGCAAGTGGCAGGGATGTGGTCTTCCAGCCAAGCCGCTGTCATCACAGGACACCAGCTCAGGCTCAAACCTGTGGAGCTCTTGCTTTGATAACAAATGGAGGGGCCAAAAAGTGGGAGTTCCACATGGAGAGGAAGAAAGGTTGATGGGCACCATCACCAAGACAAGTATGGAGCCTCCCAAGCCAGGCACCAGAGGTGGGGCTGTGGAGAGGCCCGTAAACGGACATCTGTTGCATTCCATGAGACAGAAGGAGGGACCCCCCACTACAGTTCTGGGGTGTTTTGAAACTTTAGAACTTAATCCCCTATTGTTGTATCCCAAAGACTAGACATTTTACTCCTAAGAAGCAAAAGTGGCCACAAAGCTATGTTGAGTTTCACAGCCTGGGTACCACGTAAAAGTACTTGGTCCATCTTTCTTAAGTGCCTTTTTGCAGCCAGAGTCTACTGAAGAAACCCTAAACAATATGAGTAAAATGACCACTCAGGAGTAATTCTGGGGATGATTCTGAAATATACCTCCTAGCCAGAGTCAGGGACCATGTGCTGG